ACTCCAGGTGTGGCCTCACCAGTGCTGAGTAAAAGGCAAAGATCACCTCCTTCGACCTGCTGGCAGCACTTCTTCTGATGCAGCCCACGAGACAGCTAGCTGCCTTTGCTGCAAGGGTGGACTGCTGGCTCATGTTCAACTTGGTGTCCACCAGGACCCTCAAGTCCTTTTCCGCGAAGCTGCTTTCCAGCTGTGTGGCCTCCAGTATATACTGGTACATGGGGCGGATTCAAGTCTGTCAGTTTATAACAAACCTTAATTTCTGTTCAAGTGATTTCCTAACTGGTCCTTTTTTTGATATTTCAGTTAGTTACGGTATGTTTTGGTTTTTTTCAAGTCTGGTAGCTTCGAAAAATAAATCTGAAATAGACCAACTTATTAGTTTAAGATAGTTGAAATTTACAGAGGACATTACAAAAGCATTAATAAATAATAACTGTTCCAAAATGTCAAAAATGTCTTTATCACAGATGAAAAACTGCACAGGTGAAGTATTACTCTTGAGTTTTTCTCCTCAAAGAAGATCACAAAGGTCTGAATCAAGCCTCAAACAAGCTTAACTAACTACAAGTCATTATGTTTAAACAGGAACGTAGACTGGAGTACGAAGTCCTGTATGATTTGTCTGTGAAGTTCGTGGCAAAATTCATCAATTATCAGTGACCACTGCTGCTGTAAAGATTAAATTGTAGTCGGAATAATGGTTTGTTTGTTTTAAATTAACCCTTTGACATTGAATAGTTCTGAATTAAGATTATCCTTAACTTCAGAGCATGGAAGAGCTGGAGAAGAGCAATGAAAATCTTCTCGCTGGTGCACAAAGTGAACTTCGCAAAGAAATGTCTATGTTGCAGAAGAAGATTATGATGGACACCGTAAGTGTCAGATCTATGAAGAAATTAAATGCAAAAACAGAACATTCTATAGAAAAGTCATTTGACACTCATTTAATTAGCTCAAACGGAGAATGTTGATGTGGTATCTGCTCAGTATTCTCTCCTTTTCTTGTAACAGCAACAGCAGGAGATGGCAACTGTTCGCAAGTCTCTTCAGTCCATGTTATTCTGACGGCTCAATGGAGAAACAACTTGTACCTAAGTAACACGATACAAGTATAGGCATTAGCCATAGAGAAGTATCTTAAGATTTAACTGTTTTAAAGTTTCTATTAAAGCCTTTCATGGATTGTTCTAGTCTTGTGTCTGATAATGTTGTAAGAACGTGTATTAGTAAATTTATTACTTTTGGGAGGAGGGTATGAACCCCAAACCATTTACGGTCTGTCCAGTTAATCTTTACCTACTTAATACTCACTTTCAACAGCATTGGACTATTTAAATTGTTTCACTTCTTATAGTTGTAAATTGTAACAAGGGGAAGAACTAATGAAAAATGCATTACCCAGATTTTACATAATAACTTTAGGCCTTTAGGTACATTGTGCAAATAGAAGCATTTTTCACAAGCAGCAGTCATAGTTTCAATATTTCATGTTCTGACACATCAGCAGTTACAGAAGTTCAGAGAGTATGACATAGCTCATGTGAGACTGTTTAATGATGTGTATTATGGTAAATTAAATTTTGTTAACTCTTTTGTTAGGCTAGGCATTGTAGTATCTTTGTACTAGTAAGAGATTTATGAACTGCTGTAGTCTGTCCAAAAAGCAGGTTTCTTTAGTTGAATGATGAGCTGTGTCACAGCTTCATATGACATATGCTCAAGTAAGCATAATTAAACATAACGCATTTTGGGGTATATAGTTCCTTTAGAACCACTATTAGAAGTAATCTAGCTCATTTATTTAGTACAAGTTATTACAAGCCTTTGAGATGGAATATTACTTTTTGCAATTCCAAATGATTAGCAATTTAGGGAGGCCCAAGTTTTAAGGATAAAGCATTTATCTTTCATGTACCTTATTACAGGAAATAAGTATAAATTAAACAATCAATCAGCTTAGCTTGCATGCAGTTTGTTTTTACAGAAAACCGTTACGCCTGAATATCCACTTTTACCAATTAGGTAGTTCCTAACATATTTAATGCTTAGATTTGATACAATAGTAGATAAACCAAAAACCATCCACACACACAAATGTGATTTTTTTCATGATGACGTATTTCAAAACCAGTTCATGCAGATTCTTCTCCTCAGCTTACTAGCATTTTTAGTTCAGAATCAAGTCATTTGATGGTGGTTCTCCAGTTCTGGGAGCCAGATTAGTGATGGCTTCCGCTCTTAGGTTGCAGCTGAAGTTGAAGAAGCAACCGGTACAAAGCTCTTTTTGTTCAGCGTCTGTGAGGACGCGGGGAAGGAGCAGACGCAGAAGTGACACTGCTAGAATGATGTGTGAGGCAATACGGGGCTCTGGTGCCTAACAGGTAACTATGCTAAGCTGTAACTGTCCTGCTGAGTCCCAGCCTTCCAAGCATGATTAGATGATGCTCTGACAGTTTTTGCCTCCTGTCTTCAATACTGGGTTATTGATTAGTATTGCCTCATGTTTCTGATCTTCCAAATGATTTCTGCATTAGTTTCCCATCATCCACATTCCTCAATCATACCCTTAAAACTACTTATACCTACTACCACATGACACATTTTCGAGCATTCTGGTGGACCAAACCTTCTCATTCTAAAAAGAGTTGCCTAGATCTTTTCATCAGGTTGTTAATGTGTTTACAGTATTCAGACAAACTGAAATGGTCTTTACAATCTTCTTTCCTATCCGCTCGTGGCCTGGGTTCAGGCTATGTTGATGCACAGATGGTATATCCTCCCTAGCCTCAAACAGGAGTAGTAGGAATCATTTGGAATTGGTATTGGTCACTTAGAGTGCTAGTCCTGTGGCAGGAACTGTTACAGTTAGCCCTCAAGTGTATCGGTACACCCTTGGTAGGCAGGGGTGTGGTAGATGGCATTTTATTCCCCAACATTTATCAGACAGTACACCACTTTTCAAGTTCCTTGAACACTTCAAGAAGTCTTTGAATTACTGTGCTACATAGCAGCAACTGAAAGTGGTAACAGACACTTACATTCAACAGCTTTTTACAAAAATCATATTCAAATAACACCTCTTTAAAGGAGCTTGAGCTTACAGTGTTTGTGTACAAATGATAATAGATAATAAGATAATATGCTACATTTCTTTAATGACCACCACAGCCCTTCGGCTAGGCATCTTATGGTAGCCAGCGGGTCTGTTCTTAAAGAAAGAAAAAGGCTGATAGTGGGCTTGACTTTCTGTTTTGGAGAGTTTTACCATACATTAGTGTTCAGTTCCGTGCAGTTCTGTTTGGATAAAGTACAGTGACAGTTACAAGACAGATTACAAGGCAGATGAACACAGCGACTGCAAACATACTTCAGAGGGAATTACATATGGGGGGGTGCATTGTTACAGTCAAACAGTCACAGTCATGTAAGTTTATCGATGAACTTTGTCATTCACTTGTGCGGTTTCACAGATACAAGTTAGGGTAGGTAAAGGTAGTGTCCTCGAAGCACACAACTACCTATACCATAATGATGGAGTACAATGAGGCAAACTTTATTATGACCACAAAACCAGAAACTGGTCTTGAAAGAAAATACAAGCTACAACTGTATTTAGTAGCAGTAGTTTATACACTTAGATACTAGAGAATGCATGAATCTTAAAGGCACTCATAACTGTACTTTGAAATAGAAGATTTTCCTGAGCTATTCCTCCTTCATCCTACTGATCCAGTAGCTTGTTCGTTAAAAATACCAGAACAGAGATTAACGAGTAGCTTTACGTCACAGATGCCTCATTTTACCAGTCTGAACAGTGCAGTACTGTATTCATCGATATCTCTGACTACCACTTCACAGCAGTTCCAACAAGGCTTCAGAAACTAACACTAGAAGATTAGTCACTTGCTCTAGGGAAAAGTGAAATTCCTCTTCGTATTCTGGTTGGCAGCACCTTGGTTTGCAGTCTGCTTTCACCAGACCCGAAGTACAGAATTCGGGTTACCTCACAGGAAATGGCAAAAGTTTCAAATGTGGTATTTTTGATATGAAAGAACAGCTGCAATCTCTAGAACACAGAGGGAAATACATCCTCATTCAAAAGCACTGATCACAATCGAATCTGCAGGACTCTGTATTTAGGAATTCTAATGTGGTAACGTCTGGGATAGAGTGAGCTTTCTCACAAAACTGTTTTCTTGGCAAGCTTAATCTGTCGTCCCAAAAAGAGAGAGGCTGCTGCATTCACCATTCCCCTAACTGCTTCTTCTCTTGTCCTTGACCTATTTAATCAGTCATCATGGTTTTGAACCTGTTCAGGAGCTTGATGAGATGAAATTCTGAAGACATGTATATGAAGATGAGCAGCAATCTGCAGGCATACACCAGTGGCATATCTCAGCATATCAAACAAGGATATGAACTTCAAAAGAACAAAACAGAACAGGTTAAAAAAAAATCCAAATATTTTTTACAGTTATCCCTACTATCAATTCAGCTATACTTTTATCAGAATCTATCCAAGGGTCAAGTTTAACAAGCATTTTAACAGACAGACATAGAGTGGTCTGGTTGAGAAGAAAACAAAAACAAAGCCCCAAAACACAAACAGCACTGAACACTTGCAAAGTCTGATAAACAAAGGTTTGTCTGCAGTTAGCAGAATAACCTTAAACAATCCACTTGAACTAAAGCATAGTTACAAGGCAGAGCTGTAAATTTACTTTCGCATCTCTGTGCCAAGGGAAGGAAGCCAGTCAGCTCCCAAAATACAGGTTTACGTGGTACCCTGGCACTCCCTCCGCACTGACAGCTGAAATCGGAGCCGGTCAGAAATGGCAGAGCAGAATGACAGGGACAGTTCTCAATCCACTCCGTGAAGTACACTCCAAATGAAAAGGACAAAACAAAACGCTTACCAATGCTATCCACAGAACAATGTATTCATCAATGAAACTGTTGAAATACTGGTCCAAAAAGAGAAGTCCTGGCCCAATAAATGCAGTGTCCTGAAGACAGATTTCACTTTTTGTCATGTGAGCCACCTATGTGTGGGGAAAAAAAAAAAGACAGACACAAAAATTCATCCCTGCAAGAGCAGCGTAACTCCCAGACCACTGGCACAGTATCCTCGCCCAGGAACCGCCTGCTGGCCCCGGTTCCTCGGGAGCAACCAGCAGGCAGGCCAAGCGCTTCGCAAACGCTTCAGGGCCTGCTGCTCCCTGACAGTTTCTTTCCAAAGGACCAGGTAACCTCTTTCACGTTATTCAATCAATAAATAGCACTTTCATCAGCGGTATCAGCTATGTGAATTATCAGTTGCTATTTTTTTACTTCATTATATAAGAAATGCGTACATGTCCTTCAATGTTCTTCTGTAGTATGTAAAGTTACATCTACACCAGTGCATTTCAGCTATTTGCAGGGGTTCCCCACTCTTTATTTTTTCAGTGCTGTATTTGAAGGGTAAGGCTATGCAAGTGTATTATTGAAAATGAGTGCTGCTCACTTGAAATACTGTGTTCAAGTCTAACTTGAAAATTTTCACTGTACTTAGCCAAAAGGTAACCAGAAACTAGGCTTCTGCTTCGGTGACAAGACTTGTTTTCGCCGTCTAGTAGAGATAGCGATGCGTGCACAGAGACACTTCACACAATGACCAAGAGAAGATGAATACTAGAGGCGGAGGGAGGGAATCTGTTCGCCCCAGCACCTTGATCCTTCCCAGTTTAGCATTCTTAGAGACAACTTAAGCTCACCTTTAACTGAGAGGCAGAAGAAGAGTTTTTTGTAAGAAGCTGGAGACCTGGTCAAGGACATATGAAGAGTTCATACCAGGAAGTTCAAAAATGGCAGGAGGAAAGGAGCCAAGTTTGCCACAAGAAATCACCCTAGCGTTCACAGAATCACAGAATGTTAGGGGTTGGAAGGGACCTCTGTGGGTCATCTAGTCCAACCCCCTGCTGAAGCAGGGTTACCTGCAGTAGGCTGTAGAGGACCTTGTCCAGGCGGGTCTTGAATATCTCCAGAGAAGGAGACTCCACGACCTCCCTGGGCAGCCTGTAAGTAAGCATTCCTTGCTTCCACGCATTGTGGACACTTGGCAAATACGATTAAAGTACTGAGAGGTTCCTGCGAACAAGGTGGTCTCTCAGCATAATATAAACAATGTTAAACTCTATGCTGAACAGCAAAATTCAGAGAAAAGCCTGCGCGTGTCCCAGTCTAAAGAGAGGACAAACCACAAAGGCTTACGTCCAGAGAGCTGATGAGTGCTTCCACTCTTAAGCCAGCAGAGGATGTATCTGGCCTGCTAAAGGGATCCGCTGCACAGACCTTGGCTCATGTCCCCACTGGGCTTCCCACCTGGTCACGCCTTGAAGTTTTTACTGCACTTTGCTCACTCTGAAGTGCCTGAAGGACAAGGCCTCCTCAAACAGTATCAGAAAACTGTGAGAGCTAAACCCACAAATTCCTTTCCCCACTACCTTCACAGATTTCCCTGGAGCAGACTATCCCCAAAGCGGCACAAAAGCGTCAAGGGAAACGCAGTTTGCTCAGAAGGGCCCGTGAGTGAGCTGACGTACACACAGTGATGACTGCTGGCTACCAGGACCCAGCGCTCCTCAGAACGAGCCAGGGAGTCTGACAGAACAGATGAGCTGCCTCAAGTTCAATCTCAAGGCTCAGTCTTCTTATCCGCATTCTCTCTTTCGCATTGGTAGCTCACTAGGTGAAGTCCTGTTTAGCAAGAAAGTCTGTAGAATACCTGTTTTCTAGTGTTTGAAAAATGGCATGCCAGGGGGGAAAAGAAAAAACTGGCTGGATTACTGTTGTCAGCAAATATGTAGTAAGGCAGATTTTATTTTTTTAATCCATTGATGAGGTTTTTAATTACAACAGATAAAGACAGAAAAGTTTCTCTCTTCATTTTAATGACTGAACTAAATTTCTATTTCAGGTAATTAAATCAGAAGTCACGGCACTGTTAGTAAGGCTTGAGGGAGTACAGTTATGATGTTAAAGACAGACGTGTATTTCTAGGACTAAGTTAAACAAAACTGGAAGTTCTAACCAATACATTCGACAATAAGTACGTGTTTGTATCAGTGTCATACATAATCCCTCTGTAGCAGCCTAAGTCTAGTTCAGTGTCTGGGTCATAATGAGACTGGTAGAACAGCGGCAGAGCAGAATGGGAAAGCTTGCACAGTGCCCGGTGATCCAGCACACCTCAAGCCAATAACCAGTTTATTTTTAGGAGGTTGAGGACTGAAACAAGATTCCTTACCACCAACTTCTGTGAGATTTTAGCATTCACAAATCCAAATGTCAAGACATAAAGGCAAGAATGTTTTTCAAATAGCCGAGTTGTAGATTTTTTATAGATCATAATGGCCAATGTGATAAGTAGTCCAATGTGCAGGCCCGGTGAAAGAACACTTGTTCCCTGAAATACAAATGGACAGAAAATTTGTCTTAGGGTTCAGTCACACAGTAAGGTCCAGATTGATTGATACATATTGCAAATCCCATTAAATGAAACCAGAGCTGTCAAAACTCAGGGAAAGCCCATTGGCGTTATGCCAATGCTACCGGTATCCTTTGCAGTGACCACTAATCAATTTTGTAAGAAAATTCATTGCTGGTTCCAGTGGCAGAAGAAATCCAGTAACAGGCAGAGAGAAAGTAGGTAACAGAGTCTTTGCTTTAGCCATCCACCACCCCTGTGCTTGTCTGTCTAAACGCTTAAACAGATAAAACCCTTATGATCATCTGAAATGCAATAAATCAGCATCACAAATTATTCGAACCTCATTCAGATTTTTAAAGCAACTTACTGCTATTGTAGATCCGTTCTTTCCAACCCCTCCGCCAAAGATGACACGGAAGTAATTGAAAGAAGAAAGTGCTGTTCCACACAGTATGCCAAAAACTGCAAAGAACTTCAGTTCTAAGCCCACCAGAGGGACCTTAGCACGAAAAACAAGAGGAAGATATTAAAAGTCAAGGATAACACCTTTTTTAAAAAAAAATATTTTAAAAAGCTACTGATATCTACTAAACAATTGTTTCATTTGAGCTCTCACTTTCCCGGGAACAAGCTCAGGAGCACAGTGTTTGGAATTTTCTTCCTTACTAAGGAGATGACGAAATTTCTTTTCAAACGTTTAAAACTCGACTTTTGAGTACTTAAGTTCTGGTCTTGAAATTCAGCTAGATTTTACTGGGTTTGTCCTTATGATGTTCTTCAAGTATTTTTACGACGTAAGCAAAAACTTGACACACACCAAGACAGGTGAGGGGGGAGAAGGCCAGTGCCTTCTCTTTCCGTGGCTAACACAATACTGAGCCACAGGAAACACAAACACCATCTGCCTGCGCTGTGTTTTGGTACATGTTATTTGGATGCTGTATCTTTGCATTTAGAATAGTCTCCAGATACAAATTTTAATTAAACAGTTACCTTTCAGAATCAACTGCAGTTTCAAGGAGACTTCCAAAGGCAGCAGAGGGTTTAAAAAAAAGAAGTAGTAATAAATTGAAATCATTGACTATATTTTTGAATATAGATTGTTTTGAGATACAGCATAACTACCACAGATTTTAATACTGAATAAAAATCATAACTAAAAGTCTCATGCACCTACTTTCTTTTCCAACATGAAAATAAGCTGTTTGAAAATAGAACAAAGGCATCTTGCAGGATGGGGAAAGGAAACAAAGTTTAGCTAAACATTTTTTAATTGCTGAGTAACCTCGTGAATTAATTTTAATTACTTTTATATTTAATTTCCATGGTTATCAATAGCATGGAATGGTCTCAGCTCTTCCATGTGCCATAACCAAGCAGAACTACACATTTCTGAGTGAGGACCCTAGCAAGGATGAAGATGTTAGTCTAATACACTTTTGGTCCCATCCACTAAAATGCATCTTCAAAGATCAGAATAAAAGCCAGAGATAGGGAAATGCTTTGGGACAGAAAACAATTCTTTACATATAGATATTCACATTTATGTCATCTCTGACATAACTCTTCAAAATCAGTACATCTCCATTGGCACATAAATATGGAATACTTCTCCAAAAACCTCATCCCATGGTTTTGTTAAGATAAAACCATTTAATCTTTATATTTTAAAATACAGCATCCTATAAATCGTATACAAAAGAAATAAAACTAGAACAAAAACTTTCTTAAAGCTCAAGCATCTGCAGAGTATTAGTTCCATGTTTAGATCAAGTTTCTGTGTGGCAGATGGGGTCTTTTTTCCTCTATGTAGCTCTAAATTTGTGCACAGGAAGTCACACCATTATACCTAAGTTAACTACAACATAAAAATAACCTGCGTTTGTACAATAAGCTAAAACAGAACGTTGGACAACCAGCAGGTGTTGATGGTACTTGCACAGGATAGCTTCAAATACCATAGGAACTGTCAACTCTCAACAGGAACTCCGAATACCTAATACGCTTACCTGATAGTCCCATATTGCTGCGCCACCATACGCAGAGATCAAGAGCAGCGCTGTTATGGCAATCTGAACTTCAGTTACATCAACTCTGTGAAAAAGAAAAAGAATAGGAGATTAAAGAAAAGGTAAAAAAGTGGGGTGGGGGGGGAATACTGACTTTAAATCATCTCCTTAACAGTACTTCAAATTACCTCAACGTCTATAGAATATGATTTTCCTTGACTGAGAAAGATACTTTGTATAGAGGCACACATCTTCGGTTAAGATTTAAAATTAAACCTATACTCCTCATCTACAGCAAGCTACATATAATTTTAGTAGGGGGAAAATCTTTTAATGAATGCATTGTTAACTATTTGAGCATTTTGTATAAATTTACAGACTTGTTGATGTGTAAGTATCAAATCAAACTTTATGGGAAGCTCACAGTAAATGCAATCAAACATTTCCATTAAAAGCATATCATAAAAGTATGGACCATGAAGAGCAGGCTGGGACAGAAGGGATTTCTTTAAGCCATTGTATCATGAAAACTTGACAGATATGGGCTGGAAAACATAAGGGCAGTATTCTGAGGACTGAGTCAGTGGATAGCTAAGCATGTGTGCTGTTTCAGAGGAAATACAGTTAATATCTTGGTTTTTTCCATAAAAATATTTTTAAAATAAGTGGTCTTGTATGCCCCCTAAAGTCTAGACTCTGTATTCCACCATTTCTGGTTCTCAGACAAGACAAACTAAACTCTGTCTTACTGTATTTGATTGCTGAAATGCTTTGAGAAGACCTCAATAATAAAAAAAGTTAAGCAGTGGCTCAAGAGAAAGAATCGATACTTTCAATAAAGCTCTAAAATAAACAAAATAAGTGTGCACATCTAAGGTGCCTTTTATGCCACCAAAGGTTTTGAGACAGGTACCTGATCTTTGCACTGAAGTTACCAGCAAACAGTGACAATGGATGTTTAAAACACAGTATTTCTTTAAGCAGCTGGAATAAATTTGCTGTTTTAAGTCAACATGTATTATTACTTGCTTAGCACATGAACCAGTTGCACAGGAAACTGTATTTTTAAAGGGAGATGGGAATCAACTCCTGGCTAATGGAAAACACTGATCTTTACAATCACAGTAACATTAAATTCTCTTCTTTCATCGGAAAGAGTCATAAAATATGCTAAGTTTCATGGCAAGCTTCAGACTGTAAGTCTTCTAAGAGCCAAACTTCAAGCTGCAACTGATACGCCGTGGTGCTCGTCACCACTCAAAGCCGTTGGGAAGGGTCATCCTCTCCTCCCTCCGCCGCTGCGCTCCCTCCCTTCTGTTTGCTGCAGCACTTGTCCGACGCGAGGTGAACCAGCTCGGCTGGCCAGCCTCGCGCAGGCGTTTCACCTCCTGCCCGTTCCATGCATCGCCTTGAAGACAAGCGACAGAGTCTGTGCGGGGGGCAAACAGGACGGTGGTGCTGGGGGGGTGGGCTTCTCTCTCTCTATCAGAGATGGAGTGTCACGTCTGCCCAGCCGCTGCCGCGGCCGCGCCCAACTGTCGGTTCTGGCATGCGAAAGTGACCACACGCAAGTGCACGCGCTCAGAGTTCACGCTCCATGCTGTTAAAACTGGCTTCTAGGCTGCGCTGCGTGTGCTGTTGCTGGGGGCGGGAGGAGGCTGGAAGCTGAAGCTGAGTCACTGTATATGCCCAAGTGTAGTACTTCATTTTACAGAGGCTCAGACTGTTGGTTGCAACAAAGCCCGAATCAGAGTCCCAAGGTTTTAATCAGACACCGTGCAGTATTCTACATTCTACATCTGACCGCGGCGCAGTGCCCGGCTGCTCTGGTGCTTCCTGGCCACCAGCGCTAGCACGCTCTCCTCTGTCATTTGACTTCTAAAATCAAGTGCTGCTAATTCAGGAACAGCATTACTGAAAGCTTCCATCCATGCTGTTACGTGTTATCATATTTAGAGCAATATACTAAAGCCTTCATTTAGACTCTCACCTCCACGCTTAAGAGAAATCCATTGTGAGCCTTGAAAAAACTCTGACCTGTTTTCACTAACAGAAATCAGTTATCTCAGAGAAAAGTCATGTCCATTTAACTTCAAACAGTGAGCACGGAACACCAGGCCACTCCGACCTGCTCGTACTAGGCACTATCACTATATTTCCGTAGAAGCCATTAAGTTTTTAATGAAGAAATTTTTTTGTGGTGTTGGAGAAAAGCAATCAGGTATGCAGCATCCCAGAGCTCCTGGCATAGCCCATCTCCCTTCCGTGTTGTCCCGTCACATACGGAAATTACCCTATTTCAGCCATCGCTCTAAAGCATCTATTTTTGTTTACACCACAATATGGCCTTTAAAAAAAGTAGCATGGGTAGGCAGGTAGAAGAGTCCCGGTTTGTGTGGTAAAATGCATTATCAGCAAATAAAAAAGAGCTCTTGGCATACCCACCGAGACAGCTCTCTTTTGATACAGACCTTGCGCAGGACGCAAGGACAGCTGATCAGCAGCCTGTCTGCCCAGCAAGGCTCAGATTCGCTAAGGCGCTTCCTGCAGGTCAGAGCTAAGCAGGACTATAAACAGGTGACTTGGCCAGTGACTGGGATTAGCAGGAGGACAGCCTTCATCGATCACGTTTTTCCAGTTTTGCTGATACAGAAGTCTCTTATCTTTTCCTCTTTTCAGAAATCATTACTAAAGTGCAGGTCATGGTTGAAAAACAGCAAATGGCCATGCCCAGGTGCCACCGCAGCTGCGGGAGGGTGCAGCAGTCCCCACACTATAAGGAGTTACACTGGAATTGTTATCTTCTACACGAACATCCCGACTCCTCCTCCTACACTGCGGCAAGAACAGATGACATTTCTACCAAGCCATGAACAGCATCACAGCAATCTCTAGAACTGTGACCTGACACAAAACCTGAAGGACACCAAAGCCAGTGTGAGCCAGATTAAAAGCAAAGCCCCCATAGAAGCCTAGGTTAGTTCTTCAAGCACTGCTGAACTCCTCGCCAAAGGATGCGATGGATGCAGAGAGTTTGTTCAAAGGAAGACTAAAGCCGTCTGTGGAAGGGAAACCCGTTAGCAGGGGCATTTCTCTAATAATGCATGTGGTTCAGAGTCCCCTGGGCCAAAACTGTTCTGTGGCAGGGAGATGACAAAGTGAGGTAATGTAGATGCTTGCTCTGTCCCTACTCCTACACAGAGCACTTGTTTACAGCGCAAGCAAAACCTCCCTGGCCTGAGCCTGCATGGTGCTGCTACGGGTTCTGAGAAAAATCCACAGGCAAGAGCCAAACGCATGCAAACAAAGCATACACAGCTAAAATCAGCTGCTAACAGAACAAGCCCTCTACTCAGTATTATGCAGAGTTGTAAAAGTTCTTGCGAGGTAAAACACAAGTCTGCTATGGTGGAAGGGAGATGAGGAGGAAGGTGAGAGGAAGACAGAGCAGGGGAAAAAAAACGAGAAGAAACAGAAATCGAGTAGCTAGCAGACAATAAGCCACAGGTACTTCTGAAGATACCTACTTACTTTCCAAACCTCAGTATGCCTGATACATATGTCTGCCAGTGAGCAGAATAGAACATGAACAGTCCCACAAAACAACAGAAAAACAACCAGTCAGGATTTGTTCCTAGTCGGATTGCTATGCAGGATCCAAGGACAACAAAAACTGAAAAGCAGAAATGAACATGTTAGTCACATACCCTCTTTGCTCGCAGCTGAGAGAAATAAAAGAAAAAACAGAAACACAAGACATTTTACATCACTGTAACAAATCAATGATATGACTGAGACTTTACTGAGTAGCTAACCTCAGGGACAGTCCTGGCTGGAGAGACCAAAACACAGGACTCCTTCCAAGCGAGGGCCCTGCCTCCTAGCCTGCAGCGGTCCTTCCCCCTTCTGCCGGCCTCGTCACCTCGTGTTCTCTGCAACACTGACAGCTTCAACTGAAGGGCCCAGCTCACCAGGACTGCCAGCTGCACTTCTCTGGGAAGTGAGGCACAAAGAACGTGCCAACTCCCAAGGCAAATATTTCAGCCATTAAGCTTTACAGAAGTACAGGCATTGCCACCAACGGCAGCTCAGTTACAGAAAGTAAAACTGAGCACGGCTTACTTTTTCAGGACTTCACATCAACTTTTTTAAAACTCCTTCTTCCAAGGAACATAAATTATCCTTCTCCTAAGAGCCAGGCTGGATGCCCTTTTACCAAACTGGTATTCTGGCACCTCACTCCTAAAGTGGAATCCTTAGTTTCCCACGCCAGCATCAGTATTTTAGGTCCTTAAAATCCTTTACTAGGCATCGCCTGTACCCTACCAGAAAACAAAGGCTATGTATAGTAAAGAGCCTCTAAGCACAGTTTTATGGAATTCTTTGTTCACCATCTAGCTCAAAGAACACTGTACGTGAAGATGCATAGTAAGTAAGAGCAGAACGCGTGTCACCCAACATCTGCCAAAGGTACTTCTGAAATATCCTCCCTGATACTGGTCAGGGACAGCCTTGGCTGCAGTGATCAGAAGATGGTGAAGTTCTCCTAAAAGAAGGACCCTACTCTGAGCAGGGGGTTGGACTAGATGATCTCCAGGAGTCCTTTCCAAATCTTTTCAACAAATCTGTGATTAACCAGCTCCTCTTGAAAACAGGTAACTTTTTTAAAACTAGAATGGGTAACAGTAGGTTAAGACTACCTGTGGAAATAGAGTCGCAACCATGATCAAAGAGTTCTCCTAGAGGAGAACTACTGTTTGTTCTTCTGGCTTGCTTCCCATCAATGGCATCCAGAGACTGGTAGATAAAAAGTCCTAATGCACCCAGGATGTATGCCCAAAAAGGTGCCTGAAAGAGAGTCACATAAAAGGTCACTAGGCAGTTCCCAATTTCTTGGCTGATAATGTATTTCATTAAGTAAAATACAGTTCAGCACAAAACTATACTACATTGTGCTATTTGTTACTTAGCTAACGGATAAACCAAATTACTTGGACTAGGCTCTACATGAATTGTAGTAACTACTATAATAAACTCCAGACACACCAGTGAAACACAGGTCCCTTCTATTCATCTCAAAAAAGACAGACACAAAAAACCTTAACCTCTCTTCTGCATCAACCGATTCATTTGTCCACCTTAAAACTACAGTATTTCTATAATTATTTGTATTCTTTGTGCTGAAAAAAGTTATGAAAATAAAATTAATATTTAAAAAAGAAAGTAGTAGCAAGGCAGTACTAAAGTTCTCAGCAGTTTATGTGACACTTAGACGATTTGCTCAGATTTACAACATACAGACATAAAAACCCATTACATTTTACTAAAGACAGGCTTCAGCTTTTAGGGAAAAGAGATTTTTTCCAACATACAAAAATTGACTAGACAGGCACTTCAGACAAGGGTTTGAAGACATGAAGTCATTCACTAAATATGAAGGAGCAACTATCAGCATTTCAAAACAAGCTGTGAATCAGTTATGCTAACACCAGTGTTAGGTTGAAAGGAACCATCCTACAGCAGTACCTTCCAAAAGCAGTCAGCATGTCTTTGCCTAAGCATTAGTTTTTACTAAAAATTGTTTATAACACCTTTCGAACCAAGTACAGGTACCATTTTTGCCTCAAGCAGTTTCCAGCGACAGCCTTAACATTAAGCAGCACTGTTCACCGAAAGAGGATCAAAGTCAGTGTAACTGCTGGAAATGCAGCGTGCAGGTTAAACAAGCGACCAGCCACCGGCGGTCACAGAGCTGACCCGCTCCCAGGCAAGGGACAGCTGCTGTGGCTCTACACCTCTGCAATTCCTCTCCTGCAGCACAAACAGACCAGCATGATTACATATATTTCCTAAGTCCAGTAAAGACCATTAAGCAGATTTAGACAACGGCTCAAATCCCACTGAGCTTTGTCCGCACTCAGATAAACCCAGTCTCGCTGCTGGGGAAAGAAGAAACATGACAGTTGCCCACCAGTTCATAGGCAGGAGCGGAAGGCAGCACTAAGAGTGCGGATGAGGTGAGCTGCTCCTCCAGACATTCTGTTTTCCCATCATCATTACACTTGCTGACAAGTCAGAAAAAAAGTTATGTCTCCAGTTAGACTGATCACAAAACACATCCCTCCCCAGAACCAGCCCGCTTAAGGGAGGTACAGGTCTGAACAGCTTTTTTGCTGTTAAATTCAAGACATCCTCATGTATTCAAGGCTGACTGATACACTGTCATCGCTTGGTTTTGTGCTTTTAATATCAAAAGAATATTGTCAGCAAATTTATAATTTTCCTGCTACCCAGTATTTGGATAATTTCATTAATAAAACATTCCACCAATTAAAATCAAATGGTTTGCTGCTTCGCCCAGCTTTGAAGCAAAAGATGATCAAAGGTTGAGGGATTCCAGCTACAGGTGAGAAGCCTGGATTTGTATGTACACAGAAATTTAGAAAACTCAGAAAATTCTTCAAAACTGGCAAGGCCGTCTTTCCCCTTAATCCAAGGAAACTAAGAAAAACTGTAATCACAGATCATGTTGGAAGTCTTGAGCAGGTGAAAGAGGATGAGTAGATATTCTCATCCCAATGGACTTTTAACATACCGGTACCTGATAACCCCCCAGAATGACACTACAGAAATTCAGGTCAAGTGACGACAGGAATATGTTTGATGTTAACCAGTGGAATTAGTTGAGTTATTTATGTTTCTTCTCCCTTGTTAGTCCAGTTAAACCAAGGAATTTTGTGTTGGGGGATGGGGTTAAACCATGGAGTGAGTTCTTCGCCATCTTCTGAAGCAGTTCTCTCCTCTGACGAAGGGGGAAGGACAGAGCCAGGAGGAGCTACTGCCACGCTGGGTTCACGGACCACCGAGAGTGAGCGACGTGGAGAAACAGAGAGCTCAGGGGCCTCTCCTGGCACAAGCTTGCTTGGTCAGATGTTCTGCAGGGAGGCAGCAGCTACCTGCCGTCCCGTTGTCGCTCTCCGCCTTTCCAAAACAGAGGGCTGTCAGCCACTGCTCTGGTATTTCAGGACATAAAAGCACAGTTAGGACCCTGCTGAAGCTACAATCATTCTACCTGTGATATAATCCACATACTAAAGCTACCACAGGACCTATACTGGCTTTTTCAGAGTAACTTTGTTGTATGGAGAGTAACAGATATTCTCGAACAAGGCAGCTCCTGACACAGACCTATGAATGAAGCATTATGAGCAGCAAGGCTAGGAGAAACCACTGGTTTCACAGCAGTCCTTTAAAGGAGTATTTTAAAGGCATTTCTCATTTTATCACCGACATTCCTGTGAAATGCCACCAAGGTAATCTGCAGTGTTTTACGAGACATCATTACTGTGACATACTTCTAGATATGAAAAGACAGTGTGAGATCTATTGAAACTTGTCACGTTAATCCCTGGATTTTGGCAAGTAAACCACGCTGTAGCTGGCAATTCTGTCTGGGACACCACTGGTTATCTGGTTGCATTAGGCTCCCCTCCTTTTGCAACCATCTGCCTATAACTGAAACAGATTTTAGTTTGAAGTCATCATGTTCTCCATATCACAGACAAAAAGTAGCCTGTATCCAGTGCTAAATACACTAGCCAAATTCCTCACCCACTCTGCTTTCACCCCCCCCAGTGTGGGGCGCATAACCAATTAAGTCAAATGTCAGAGCGTGGGCAGTTTCTTATTTAACTGGACCATTTCCATAATTGAAACACCAGTCAGGAGCAGAAACCTGTTATGGCACCTTTTCTTTTTTTTTTAATCATTAGCTGCGGTGCTGTATGCTTGGTATTACTACAATCTCTTGAAATGCAAGGTGCATGAAATACAGCCTCAATTCTAACCAACACAGAAGGTTTGCATGCTGGTTACTGTGATCAGTTTATGAAAGTCTCCATAACCCACAGAACATGATGCAAGAATTCTTGTTCAAGGTAACATCGCCTACATCTACCTTACCTCAAAACAACTGTAACACGTTGAATGTAAAAATAAACAAATAAATTAGCTTCAACTCAAACTTCTCTTATTAGGTCTTTTTGACACAGCAATGGCTTTTGTTGAGTTGCGAGTTATAGTACAGGTATAACGCGTTAGCTCCTGCTGGGACAAATCCAAGCAACAGTTCCTCCAGGCGCTGTCAAAGAGCAGAGCGTTTTAGTTTCAATCTGGAAAGAGGGGGAGAGCTTTCATCCTCTTCCCAGTAAGGATGATCTGTATCCATTAACACCTGTAGCGGATGCATCGGCATCCCCGCAGTTGCGGAGAAGGGAAGAAGATCCTGGTAAGAACACGGGAACAGGTGTCTGAGAGCGCTCAGAAACACAATCTGGAGCAGTTCATCCCTAGGCTGTCGGTTCAAATTTACCCCAAGGCGGTAATAATCAAAGGTCACTTATGATCACCACGCATTTAGCAGATTAAATGAATGCTCTAATGTTTTCATCGGTAAAATACAGTTTTCCAAATCACTGAAGGTGCACAGAGCTTTCCGAAGTTCCTAGCAACCACGGATTCTCTCCGCTATCTGCCCTCTCAACACAGCTACAGCTGCCATCTCCTCTGCCTTCTCACACGCCTGGCTCTCCATCGAGGGATGTCCCCTGCCGGCTTCCCACGCTGGACCCGAGTAGTTTGCAAATTAGAGAAGTGGGAGCATTTGAGAATGCTGACATGGCTGACAGACTCAGCAGAAAGGTCAGGGGGCTCCCAATAATCATCAGCTTTTCACTGATGAGGTGTTTATTATCTCTGCCCAAAGTTATATCCTGTCCAAGCGAAATGTATTATTTGGCCAGAGCTAGGTGCTATTCTCATGGAACTAGCAGAGAACACGAACCCGGGGGAAGGGATGCTTCTCTGCTTCAATTAAAGAGGATGTCTGAAAGATGATACAGCCCCAGAGTCTTGTCACACACAGATTTGGTGCAGCAGGTCTGGTTATCTACTGAACCAGAGGGTGTCAAAACAAAACCATGTGCATATAGTGTTTGACAGGTATGTGTGGCATGCCTCTTCTTCAGGAGAAAGCGTAGGTTGAACAGCAGTCCTCGTTCTTCTGCTCCTGTGATTCCACCCCACAGAAGAGCACGGACAGCTGCAAAAGACTACATATGCCACGGAGATCCCTTACCTCTTCTTTCAAGCAAAGCGCTCAAGCCTGGAGAGTTCAACAGCCCGAGGTTTTGCAACATTTAAAGGTTCAGCCCCCCTTAATTACTCATCACATTCAGTCATAATCTCGCTTCCTCAATCCACAGCTACTAATTTTGCCCTAGTTTACATGGCCCCTCTCTGGAACAGACCCAGAATAGAAAAAGACAATTTTACTGGACTCCCTTCCTCTTCCCCCCCAAGATGGATCACGTCCCTCACTTCTGTTCAGCGCAAAGCACTGTGTACAGTTGTACTAATCGCAGGAGGAGGGAACGGGCTGTTTAAACCTGCATTACAGCAGCGGGAGAGGGCAGAAAGGAGAGAAATAAAATAATGAAATTGTCACACTATGGCCCAAGTGCATTTCAGGCACACCAGGGATGTCTCGCACTCCTTTAGCATCCTCCTCTCCCCAAGAAGCTCTCCCTGAAAGAACTCCTGTACTTCTGCGCCAGGGTTCCCGAACCTTCGCTGTCTTACTCTGTGCCAAGTAACTCTTTCTCCCCATTTAGTACCGAGTGCTCTGTTCTTCACTAGGGGGTATGGGCTGGATTCCTGGCCCCACTCAGTGCTTCACACTTCTCTACCAGGTCAAGGGCTTCATGTTCCTTCCTTCGCACCCCCACACCCCCAGTTCATACCAGCTGCTCTAGTTCACCTCCTTTTCTGCTTCCTTACTCTCTCTCCCACAAAGCTCTGTTGTGCCCTTGCTGTTTACATAATGCCATGCCTGTCAGTATCTTCCCCTCATTTCTCCCTCTGACAGGAAAAAAGACAATTCATCTTTCAGTTTAAAGCCTATTTTTTCTTTTGTTCGAGGGGGTTTGCTGCGTTTTTTTGAAGGAAGTTTTTTAAAAAAGAGGAGGAGAGAAGCAGCAGAGAGAACACCTTGCCAATGTTCCTCTCCCTCCAAACAGTTAATAGTAGAGCTAGCTGGAGTAACCTAGACCCTCCCCTGCTTTTTGGTCTCCCTAGATGTATGGCTTTCTAAATAGCACATTTCAGCAAGGCACAGCACCCTTTCCTTAAACAATTCTACAGAGCTAGCCACCACAAGCCTCCCCTCCCTCTGCTCTCTGCATGGGAACCCTTGAGCCCCTGCCCCCTTTCACCACCACTGCCCAAACTGCAAATCCATAATCCATGTTTTACTCTTCCTGTCTTCCTCTATTCCCAGTAACCTCCACGAAACTACAGACAACAGAAACAATCACTTTAAAAAAACCTAAATAAATGAGACATGATGGAACCTTAGAAGCTGAGAGCAAACTGGACAAGTCTTTATCACTGGATAAAGTCTACTTTGATCAGTTTCAGGGGCTCTTTGCTTAGAAGCTGTGTAACTACTACAAGATATTTTTTTTTAATAAATTCAATATAAAGTGATAATTTCTATTAGTATGATCTTCCGGCCTAGCATTCTAGCTTCCCATGGTATTTCAGAGACCTGTGGCTGAGCTTGAAGGATTACTGAAGCCAGGCCCCTCCAAGAGCAACCATGAAAGCAGCAGGATCAGTTTCCCTTCTCCCTTTTAAAAACATAGAGAATTATGGTCAGCCATTGTTTTTCCTAGTGCTGATGTGAGGAAAAAACATCAGTTTTCCCCAGAATGGGAAGGGGCACGAGAGATTCCCCTACAAAACCTAATTAAATAACTGTAGCTACTTCAGAGAAGTTAGCTGGCAGTAGAGCAAAACAGTTCACCATCAAATGGTGGGATAAAATGGAAAACCTCACCCAAGAAGTGCTCCTTTTACACGCTAATGCAGAAAATACACAGTGCTCATACTTGAAGTCAGCAAAACTTTTCACTCCTAAATATTTTATACTTAGTGTCAAAAAAAAAAAAAAAAGAAAAAAGAAAAAAACCCAGCCTGCAGAGTCACAGTGAAGAAGATATTTCAGCCCTCTACAAAACATGAAATGTGCAGGTAGTGTCCTCCCCACCACCACACCTGGTGTACCAGTCCCGTGTATTATTTCTACAGATTACTGTCCTAAGTTACACTGGGTGGGAAACTGGACAAACACTCTGTAAAAATCCATGCAGATGGATCCGAGTTGCAACAGCACTTGAGGGGTGCAGTCTGCTAATGGCTTAGCTACAAATAGGAAGGCTTATGTTGAAATGTGCATTTACAGGAGACACTGATACAACCTGTGTTCCTACTAGACAAGACGACATTTCTGAAGCAGACCATATTCTATAATGCCTAAACATATTGTGCTAGTCAGTAACAAACTGGCTTTTAGTGGCTACAGATGCTGAAGAAGATAAAAAGAGTAGTGTGTAAGGAAATAATGGCTTCACAGTAAGAGAACAAGGGCGCATTGTACGGTTTTGGACATTATACTGCATGTCGGGGAGGTATTATTAAACTGCAGAATTCACTGCAGTAGGACATAATGGAAGCTGCAAGTACAAACAGGTTCAAAACAGGTCATTCAGAAGGCAAAACCATGAAATGGAATGTGTCTGTGGGGAAATGGGTCCATCAGTTGCTGTCCTAGCAAGCAACCCGAGTAGAATCCTTCACCGAAAAACCCCTGAACCACAGTCTTTTGGCAGCTGGAAGGCTATACTGGGGAAAGACCTCTTCTCTAAGCATCCGCTAGCAGCTGCTCTCCGAAGGATTGGAGCTACCAGTCTTACTTCTTTCGGATGGTTTGTACAAACATCAAGACTTCAGTGTTTTCAATAAAGAACTAAGAGAAATGGCCCGCTTAGGACTGGTTACAGAAAAAAACCCAACAACCACACAAACCAATGCATAGAAACCCCCCACCTAAAACCAAAACCTGCTTGTTGTTTCATCTGTCTTCTATTCAGTGCTCCTACACTTCCACCAACAGAATATAACAAGTTGTTGCTAGGCCATCAGGTAATCAAGACTTGTTCATGAATGGAAGCGAATGCTCAGCATTGCAGAGAGGTGATGTCGAAGCGCACTATGCTCGTAGTTCCGTCAGATCTGTAACAAGGAAGTTTAGTCCAAACTATAGGTTCTTATAAAATTCAGCTTCCACAATTAAGAAAAACCCCATAAAGTTCCTAAAATGCAACCTAAGTTCTCCTGGAAGGTAAAATTCCCTGGATGTTTGCAACACAACCTTTTTCTTTCTGTACAGTCCTCAAGGAAAAATAACTTAAAATTAACTTTCTGCCTTTTTCTTTTTTTCTGAATAGCAAAGAGAAAAAGCTAAGATGAACATCCAGACACAGAGTTGGCAAAAGACGGATATCTACATCACAAAGCTAAGCTAAAGGTAGCAGTTCCACAAGCATTTTAATTACGAAAGTGCCACCAGCAGACAATCTGCGGTTTCCAACCATTCGCTCTCATCTCTGTCCTCCCGTCTCCTACGCCACTGAGTGCCTCTGCCTGGCGATGCAAACTGGGGGAGCGATTGGGGTGAGACCAAAGCAAAGCTAAGCTGATGTGGATCAGCTTCCCGATGTGTCTCCCACCAACACCTCTGCTAACAGAGCAAAGCAGCTGCAGGGGCAAAAGGGTGCTTCCGTCAACGAGAACATTCACCAAAGTGTATCTATGTTATTAAGAAACCCCAATCAACCGGCACCTCTGATGGATCTAAGCCCATCAGAAGGCAAGAAAAACAACAGCCACCCTTCTAGGCATTTTACCTACAGGAAGCAATTTCCCGCTGGTATTTCCCACCCTAACCACCACGAAGACTTTGGGAAACTTGGTAACCGGCCGGGAAGCTCCGACAGAGCTCCACGAAGCGATGCCGCCGTGGCCTCAGCCATGCCCCGTGGCCAGCCCTGCTGGGCTGAGACGTTCGTAGGTCCACGGCCCCTCCGTTACAGCCTTCCCCTCGAGCAGGGAGCCGACGCGGCTCACCCCTCCTTCCCAGCGGGGGCACACGCGTGGGACGTAAGAAGGCTCCTGGGGGAGGCCAGGCTCGGCCTGGGCCAAGCACCCGGTCCCCACGGGGCCCTCTGGCCA